GTGTTTCAAATGACCGATCAAACCCCGGCCCGATTGAATCGTCAACAAATCGGCCGGAGCCAGTCTACTAAATCATAACGAGATTGGCCGACTCGGAAAAAAATCCGTCCATAATTCATCATATTCTAGACTCAAAATAAAAAAAAATATATTCGAATAAAACTTACATCTCTTAATCACTTCGACTACAACCTTGTTGACAATTTATCTTACTCGAATTCGGTGTAAAGATGGGTCGAATCATCGCCTACAGGCTATGTGACATCAGTCCATCACTAGTGTAGCAAATGCGTAGGGAACGTGCACACTAACGCCTAACGTTGGTTAAAAATCAAATGACTACAAGAAGTCCTTTTTTTCTATCTTAAATCAAGTGATTGATGGAAAGGAATCATCAAACCTAATGCAAGGTTTAGAGAAGCGTCTCGTAAAGAAACATGTCCACATGGATTGTTCTATACGGAAACGAAACCAACAAAACGATCGAGATTAAGGTTGTCAACTCATGGGTTGATTCATTTTGCTTCTGGTCTGGTGAGAAAAATGAGTCGCACGTACCCGTTGGGTGGACCGCTACAAGGTACCGGGTTGGAGGTCAAATTGTGTCATTTTTTCCTTCAGTTTGCGAAATGCGGCTATTTTCCGATTTTTCTTTTCGCCTAACTCAATCTTTGGAATTCTAAGTTGAACATTTGAATATTGATCTCATATAACTGTGTGTGAATTTTCACTATATGTTGGATCGAAGTACGACATGTTATTTTGGTGTAATATTATATATTACAACTCATATGTTAGATGAGATTTGATATAATTTATCATGTACAATATATTGACTCTTTTCATATTTTCGGGCTAAACCGGACTGAAATGGATGACCCATTAACCCTTGACCCACTAGCTCGATCGGTTCCGAGTCAGCCCGCGGGTTGACAACCTTGATCGAGATGCTGCCCAAACTGCAACCACATTGACACATCAATACATTGAACTAGCTAGAAGGCCAGATCCTAAGGGCCATGAATGAATCGCTTGTCAAGTTTCAAAGCCTACTTTATACGAGTTTTGAATTTGCATAAATTTGATTATTATGTGCTTAAAAATGGGGTCGTTGAGATTCAAACAAAAGACGGACCGATTACAGAAGGCTCTGATACCATGTAAAAAACCAATTGATCGAAATAACTTGAGTTGTTGGAAGTGAATTGATTTTTTAAATCTTATATCATTTACTAGCACGCATGGCATCAACATGTCAAGAACCAGTTGATCCCAATAACTCGAGTTGTTGGGAGAGGTTCAATCGTGAATCATATACTAACACCCCAACCCCCCCCCCCCCCCCAAACGAAAGCTAGTTACCTCATAAGGGCTTTCGTTTGCACATGTCCTGAAATGAGAATACATGTGCTTCACAAATGGGATCACCGGGATTCGAACACAAGACCACATCAATACATCGAACAAGCTAGAAGGCCAAATCCTAAGGGCCATGAATGAATCGCTTGTCAAGTTTCAAAGCCTACTTTATATGAGTTTGAAATTTGCATAAATTTGATTATTATGTCCTTAACAATGGGTCGTTGAGATTCAAACAAAAGATGGACCGATTACAGAAGGCTCTGATACCATGTAAAAAACCAATTGATCGAAATAACTTGAGTTGTTGGAAGTGAATTGATTTTTTAAATCTTATATCATTTACTAGCACGCATGGCATCAACATGTCAAGAACCAGTTGATCCCAATAACTCGAGTTGTTGGGAGAGGTTCAATCGTGAATCATATACCACATACTAACACCCCCCCTCAAACGAAAGCTAGTTAGCTCATAAGGGCTTTCGTTTGCACATGTCCTGAAATGAGAATACATGTGCTTCACAAATGGGGTCACCGGGATTTGAACACAAGACCACATCAATACATCGAGCTAGCTAGAAGGCCAGATCCTAAGGGCCATGAATGAATCGCTTGTCAAGTTTCAAAGCCTACTTTATACGAGTTTCAAATTTGCATAAATTTGATTATTATGGGCTTAACAATGGGGTCGTTGAGATTCAAACAAAAGACGGACCGATTACAGAAGGCTCTGATACCATGTAAAAAACCAATTGATCGAAATAACTTGAGTTGTTGGAAGTGAATTGATTTTTTAAATTTTATATCATTTACTAACACGCATGGCATCAACATGTCAAGAACCAGTTGATCTCAATAACTCGAGTTGTTGGGAGAGGTTCAATCGTGAATCATATACCACATACTAACACCCGCCCCCCCCCCCCCCCCCCCCCCCCCCCCTCAAACGAAAGCTAGTTACCTCATAAGGGCTTTCGTTTGCACATGTCCTGAAATGAGAACACATGTGCTTCACAAATGGGGTCACCGGAATTCGAACACAAGACCACATCACTACATCGAACTCGCTAGAAGGCCAGATCCTAAGGACCATGAATGAATCGCTTGTCAAGTTTCAAAGGCTACTTTGTACGAGTTTGAAATTTGCATAAATTTGATTATTATGTGCTTAACAATGGGGTCGTTGAGATTCAAACAAAAAACGTACCAATTACAGAAGGCTCTGATACCATGTAAAAAACCAATTGATCGAAATAACTTGAGTTGTTGGAAGTAAATTGATTTTTTAAATCTTATATCATTTACTAACACGCATGGCATCAACATGTCAAGAACCAGTTGATCCCAATAACTCGAGTTGTTGGGAGAGGTTCGATCATGAATCATAGCTAGACGACGTTGAAGGAGTTCTAGCGGTTTGTTTGTTCGGTTGGATTAGATTTATTAAATAAAGGGCAATTTAGTATTATTACGTGTTAAAGTAGGGCGATAATAGTAAATTTAGGGCGATGTTTAGCCATCCAGTTCTTTATTGTCTATTTTGGTCCTATCTCCGCACAGTTTTGATTTTGTGATGCATCATGACGAATTCTCCTGATATCACCCTTTTCTACACTGCACCACTCTAAATAAAGATCTTACAATCGAGAATCGAGATAATCTCTCGTTACTAATTGAAAAGACAGGATTGCCCTAACCTCTCTTAATGCTTATAGTTTACACACTCATGAACCTTATGTTTTTTTTTTTTTTTTGTTACATTTTTAGGTTGACCACCATTTGCCAATTATCTCGATTCGTCAATTGAGTTAAAGTGTACCTAAAGTAAGTTAGTAAATTGTGTGTACCAAACATATGCTTAGGGCTCTATGGACAAATGAATCACTATCATACGGTACGGCTGATGGACAATTTGAAAGCTTGAAAGCATTTGTTATGACTTCTGGATGGTGATTAATGAGTCATTTTTCACATGCTATTTTGTTCATTATTTAGTGGAGTTTGTCTTCGTCCTTTAGCACTTATAATTTCTTATGATTGTGATTGATCAAGTCGGAAGACGTTTCTTTCTTCTTTGTAAGAACAAGGATGCTTAAATAACATCTCATCTTTATGTATTTACGGAAAAAGAGTAATTTAACGCCAATCTGATCAAAATACAATCGCTACCCAAGATAGCAAGCCACTAGATAAGTGAAAAAATTTCAAATGCAAAGAATGTCCTAGCAAATTAGGCAATTTGATCAAATAATCCTGAAACTATGAACAATTCCATCCAACTCTGTGTCAGAGTTTGAGCCCCTTATGTGAAAAAAACTCCTGATAAAGTGCTCATTGTCCCCAACAATGTGTCTTTTTCTCATTAGTGGAATGCATTCAGTAGTCTAGAACAATAGGGATCAAAAAGATACTTCAGTGAATAGTGAATGAACCAACTAGATCTAATCAATCAGGACAAAACAAGCCTAACTGACTTAAGTGATCCCCGAGTGTTGTTTAATAAAGTTTCAAGCTCGAGACTTCCTCAAATGAGAATTAATTTGATTCGATTTGATCTGAATCAATCCCCGTCTGACAAGACGTTGCTCGATTTAGTCCACTAGTTTAGCAAATGCATAGGATAGGTCTATAACCTAACGTTCGTTGAACCAAATGATTGCTAGAAGTTTTTATCTGAAATCAAATGATTGATGGAAAGGAATCATAAACCTAATTTGAGGACGGGGAGCCTTTTCTTTCCCTCTTGGGCAATAATTAAAAGGAGACAATCAGATAAGCATCTCGCCTAAACAAGAACATGTTCACATCACATGCATTGTTCTCTGCAGCCATCCAAATGAAACCAACAAACGAGCTGTTACCCAAACTTCAATCACAAGAACATCCCTATTGCATAGAAACCAAACGGCCAGGAGGAGTGGACTGCCAAGCTTCACATGGCAGGCGTCAATCCACACCTTTCTCCAGTCTGCACAAGGTTTCAAACTCAACAGTGACAACTAAACACACGAGGATTACGCTCGTTGCGGTTGTAATCCATAATTATACAAGGAGACATTGCTTTTGCTAATTAGAATTCAATTTTGTTGTTTTTTTTTATCTACCGCTACTAGTCCACTATTACGACTTTTCTTGATTTCCCTAAAGAAAGTGATAATGGAATTCATCTCTCTGTGCACCCAACTTCTCGAAACAAATCGAACCTTCTCGTGCACCAGATAGGCTTCAGGGAAACCCTGTTACAAAAAGATACATTCTGAGATGTTGCTGCATGAGAAGCAGGAAATGTGCCTGAATCCCCACATCTCAAAAAGGCATGACCTATTTCCCCCCTTGCATATAGAATGATATCCATACCGTCTTTATGTTGTACAAATGGTACTGTCTCTATTCTTGCCTCGTTTCGTCAACTTTCACGAGTTACAGACGTGAATAGGTGGGGTTTTTTGTTAACTGCTATTCATGGGATTAATCCAGAGTTCCTGTACTTACTCCAAAAGCCTTACAGTAGTAGTAGGTAGCCGACCTATCAAAACAGCCAATCCAGTCCATCATCCTTCCCTCTCTCTACATTGATGATGTTTTGATACAGCAAGATCAATGGCGCACGAATATCTGCCTTCCGTCGTCTGTTAATGTTGTCATAGGAGGCCGAGGTTTTTCAGTTGCTGAACGTGCTCCGGTGGAAGGGGCGGAGGGGTCCAATCAGAACTGGTCATCTCTCCATCAACATCCTCGACCACGTACTCCTGAGAGAGCATACAGCATATATCACATGAAATTCATAGTGCCACAAGCCAGGTGAAAACAACACGCAGGTAACTATTAAGATCACGATGAGCAAAAATGCTTCGGTACACAAAGTATGGGTTAAAGGTGTCAAGCTACTCTATTTGATTCGGCCAGTTGGATTTTGAAGTCCACTTCTCCCATTCAAGCATAATACAATGAACAAACTACATGGATACAAACCATTACAGCGATATCATGGACACAAGATCTATGCTATTATTCTACATGTTCCCTACTCCTGAATCACGGTAACCTTTTACAGCTACAGGTCATAGTCAATGGCTTTTACAAGCCTCCCTTGAGAGGTTAAAAGTTAAAAGGGTTTTGGGGATGCTCCAGAAACTTTCATTTCATCTTGGAATGTCATCATGGAAAGTCCCAAGAATCACTTGGGGTAATGTTGTTGTTCTTTGCAAAGACTAGGGTCTCCGTGTACAATACTCAGAAATGTAACTAAGGTCAAATGAATTATTAATTTGCTTGCTTGTTCCATAGTAATCGCACTGCAAAATAACCTAGGAGAAACTACGGAAGATAGAGCTACTAACCTTTGTCAGCATCCGTTTGGCAAGTATATGATAGTGACGCTGCCAAACCCGTTGCCCAACCATTGTGGCCACCAAGACGCTGTAGAATATTCCAATGACAGTAAACAGTCCGAGCACAATCAAAGCCATTATAAACAATAAAGGTAGCCCTGCTTCGCCAGCACCCCCTAAGCAACCACATTCTCCAGCAGCAGTGGCACAGCTTTCAAAGCATGTGGTACAGTCTGTCCACATACAAAGTGTTCCGGGCAAATGACAGTCCGCACAGATTCTGCAACAGTAAGAAAAAGCAACCGGTAAACATTACAACAAATCATAAGCTAATATTAGGCAACTAAAAGTAAAATATCTAGAAAAGATTTACACCACCAAGTAGTAATTAACACTAAATCTTGCCATGAATTCACATGGTCACACCATCCAAACTCATACTGTGTCACTGCATATTACTAGTGATGCAACCATTTGTCATATTGATTACTCATTCCACGATAACTTGGACCTCAACTACTTTCATCCCATGTAACAAACAGTCCTAAAAAAAGTTTAGCACTTGGTGTAGCCATGCTACTCAACACAAGAAAAAATATATACATACCCCGGCTGACAACAACAAAGACACACCTCTCGGCATGGTTGAGCCAAGTCATTGCGCACTCTCCGGTCATAGCAAGTGATAAAGCACCCTGACAGACCCAGTAAGGCAAAGAACAACAGTGCCCCTGTACATTTAGATTTCACAGTCAATATAAGCTGAGAAGAAAAAGCTTTAGTCATTCAAACAATTCAACTTGCAGATACTACAGACTGACGCAGTGACGTGGAAATAACCTAGACATGCATCTGTCAAGCATGTGTTGGGAAACATGATGCTAAACTCTGACCAAATTCGAGAGCTGGACAAGCCACTCAAGAAGTGCAAACCAAATTTGGATTTGATTTTTATATGAAGGGTATTATGATACCTATAGTACCAGAATGGACAGTTGGCTATTGAGGTTATACCGCATATGTAGTAGAAACTAATTTCGCTATCAAATCCCCATGTACGACGTAGCCATGACTGATGAGACCTATCAATTAGATAAACCAAATAAGCCAGTGAAGAGATTATCTGCAAGGACATAAAATATATCAGTACTTATGACAAAAATACATTAATATACAGAAGCAGAAACGCACAGCAATTCCAACACACAGAAGTATTGAACGAGTAGAGAGAAAAAAACCTACAAGTTGAACTGTCAGAAATATAAAAGCGATATCCCTTGTCACAAAGAATCGAAACTTCATGGTTCTCCATTTCCTATCTGCAGCAACATGAACCCTCAGATGGTACGGCGCCTTGCAAGTTGTGCAATGTGCAAATGCAAAACCTTCCTGCAATAGTGAAACATAAATGGCATCAAAAGTCAATTCACAACTCAACAGTATGCCTCCAAACCAAGTAAACACATAAATTAAAATATATACTTAGAGAAAAGAAAGGCAAAGACCTTTCTCATTCCTTATCAAACACGAAGTGTGTTCAGACACTAGTACTAAACGCGTATACACTGATTGAAGGTGGTAATGACAATTAAACACGACTAACTATTCCAATGCTGGAATTTCTCCATAAATCATTCACTAACACCTATATATCAACCGCTTATACGCTCGATGTAGCACGCTATGGATGAGCAAGTAATAGTTCAAATGAGAAGACAGTAGCATCCCTTACCCTTATGGCTCGCCAATGATCCAAACATTCTCGATGTACATACTTTGATGTTCCTTTGCACTTGCATGGTGCAATAAAATCCCTACCTGTCAAAACCCAGACAAGAATTGAGTCACAATGTACCAATACAAACTATCACCACACCATAACTCGAAACCAAATATCACCCCGCCATAACTCCAAACCTTCCTTCAAGTACCGTTAGAAACGCAACATCAACAAACCAATTAAAGAAAGCAAGTCCATGTATCTCCTTCAACTCTCAGTCTCAGGTGAGGCCTTCTTTTATCTCCATTGTCAACGATACGAACAAAATGAAAACGATCATTGATGGCTTTCGAAGGAATAGGCTTAGCAAGGACTACAACTGAAAACAACCAGTACAGTGGTACATTAAAAAAAAAATTATGTTCAATTGCTCTATTCAGCCAGACAAAATGGGATATTGATTTAAACCCACATTTACATTACCAACACGGAATGCAATTAGAGAGAAATTTGAGCTACAAATTCTCCATACTTTAATGACTAGTGATTTCCCCAGAAACCAGACAGAGCTAGAAACGAGCAGAAATGCCCAATCGAGGAAGAACAAATTAAGTAGGCCAAGCAGCAAGCAGATAGAGAGTGGTTTTAGCAGTACGAAGAAAGAGAAATACCGTCAGTTTCGAGGCAAATTCGACACTGAATTTGGTCGCAAGGACCTGCTTCGAGGTCGATCTCGGAGGCGTCGGTGATCGGCGTAGGAGGTACGAGCGGCGAAGGGTCGGCATGATCGGCCATCGTTTAGGAAATGAAGTAGAACAAAAGAAACCCCCTGACCCAATTTGGAGGAACCGATCGAGGAAGGACAGAATTTTGGGGTCTACGGAGTAGAAATTGGTGTCTCCATGGCAGCAAAAGAAGAATCAAGGGAAGGGTGAGAAAGAAGGCAACAAAGAAAGTGAAGACGAATTTGGGAATCCCCTCTCTTTCTCTTTCTGGGGCTGAGGAGTTTGCTGCTGCAGCTCTGTGCGTACTGTGACTGTGGCTGTGGCTGTGTCTGTGTCTGTGTCTGTGTCTGTAAGAAGTTTTTGGGTACCTTTCTCCTACTTTTCTCCCTCGCAGAGTCCCTTTCGTTTTTAGGTTTTTCAGTGGTTTCTACGTTTAGCGATCAAATTTGTACATTTTTAGTATTAATCTTAGAGCAATGCTTAGGTATGGTGTAGTTTTCATACAAATTTGCCTGCTGTTGCACTATTGATACGTATTAAGCGGTCAAACTGATATGACTCTATTGTAATCGTACAATAACTATGTTTACATTATATCGTAAATCTCATGTTCTTTGTACGATCAACAAATTCCTTGTTTGCGTCGTGATGATTGACCATATGCTAAATCCAATTATTAGAGGATTGGTTTAAACTCATGTTGAATTTCAGAGACTCCCATAAAGACGTTTCAAGCATATTCGATCTAAACGTCGGACGTTTTTCTCAAGTTCTTGATAAGTTATGGATACTTCGCTCGACAAGTCTGAACTTGGAAATTATTGGCTAGACTATTGTTCGGAAAAGTGAAAACAAATCCCAACAAGGAAGATGAATCCCCTTAGAGCATCTACTTGCATTTTTTATTGGAAGATGACATGGAATGACTTTGCAATTGCAATATCAATTGTATTGTTGTGATCACACATTGCATAGTTGCAATTTTGCATCAAATGCAATTTCATGTACACATGAAAGCAAAAATGGGCTTAAGGAAAAGGGAATGAAAGTGGAATTGCATGTAGTATATAGTCACATATTTATCCACATGCGCAATTGCAAATTTCATTGATGTAGGTGTAATAAAATTAACACGAACTAAATTACAAAAAATGTTTAGATGACAATAAAAGCAACTTATGCAATTGGTTTAATTGTTTTTTGCGCACAAAACTCGTATTTTTCACTCTTTGTTGCAATTTTATTGAATATCCTCGAATATTATATTTTTTCCACTCTTATTTCCCCGTAAAAGCCAAAACTAACACAGCCAAATTATCACCAAAGAGAAAAGTAACTACCATCTGCAGAAGATTTACTGCTTCTGCAACTTATTTTTAAGAACATAACATTAAGCAAAAAGATCTAACCAGGCTATAAAACTTGAGCTACCTTTAACTTGTTTATTCAAAAGGGGGCACACGCCGGAAGTGGTTATGCTCTAGGTTTCTACACTCTTCACAAAAAAAACTGGAAAAGGAATACAGATTTATTGACAGCAAAAACCCCCTTGATGGCAAGGAAACAATAATGTGAATCAAATACTGAGAGCACGAAAATATCCAACCAGCCCTGGTTTTCACTACACACCATCACCGGCGACCAACCGTGTGTTCTATAGCCTACTGTCGTGGACAACCATTACGATTTACAAGTCTCACAAGGATCAGGCTGCGGCAGCTTTCTTGCAGTGGTTTTCAAGCCACTCCATCGTGACACTCTTCGGCCTCTCGAGGGGCAACCCGAGAGCTCGGTCCCATATCAGCTACAATAGACAAGACCATCAAGACTGGTTCAGAAAGAAAACAAGGACCTAAAACAAAAAAAACAAAAAAAAGGGAAAACAAAGAGGCCATTGAAGTGAAGAGGAAAGCTGTAGGGTTGGGGGAAGCGTAAACCTGAGAGCAGATTCCGATACTCCTCGAGACACCAAACAGAACGGTGTAGTACCTGTGGCTCACAAATTTGAACAATAGTTAACATACGTTGTTCGAGTTGAACAAGAAAAAAAATGGAATGGTGATGACTCTGATGAGCTTTATTGTTTTTCTTTACTGCTGTGCAATTACCTGGCTTCTGTTAGACCGTAGTAGTTCAACAATACTCCACTGTGGGCATCGACATTAGGCCACGGGTTCTTAACCTGAATGTAATGAAGGTAAAATGAAGGGAAATTAGTTAAATCGCTAGATTGATTGCTGGAAGAAGTAACCCCTTGCTCTGTGGTTTCTAATTAAGTTCGGATAGATCGAGCACTCACCTTGCCCAGCTCAGTAAGAATTGGAGGTACGACATCGTAGAGCTTAGAAACCAGCTGGAAGAGTGGGTCATTGGGCAAATGCTTCAATGCAAACTCTCTCTGGCACATGTATCTAGGATCGGTTTTTCGCAGGACTCCATGCCCAAATCCAGGAACCACCTACAAATTTAGAGAAACGAGATGAAAAATATGTACTGTATTGAACTGTGGCGTTTTAAATACAACCCTACATGGTCATGCTAGTTCTAGTGATGGTAAATGGTTTGAAATAAAAATTTGGAGATGCTTTCAATACCTTTCCACTGTTCAAAGTCTTCCAGACGTAATCTTTTAATTGGTCTTTACTTATATTTTCACCGCACTCCTCCACAACAGATTTGATCCATAGCAGAACTTCCTGCAAGCAAGGGGAGTAGCAAGGCAAATGAGCGTGGCAATGAAAATCAGTAGAAATAGAAGCGAAAAGATTGCTGGCAGCCACAATATGTCATGTTACTGATCAATTACACACAATTATACGCACAAAACACACCTGATTTGCCAAGCCATGAAGGGGTCCAGCTAAACCGTTTAATGCAGCAGCAAATGAAAGGTAAGGATCAGAAAGTGCACTGGCAACCTGAATACAATACAATGATTGATCAGCACTTAATTGCAAAGAGAAACTCCTGTGAAGAATATGACTCAAACAAGTATTTCTAAGCCCGTTTTTCACACATCTACAACTTACCAGATGGCCTGTGTGTGCACTAACATTACCACCTTCATGGTCACTGTCAAGCATAAGAAGAAAATAATAGCATGAGGTCTTGTGTATTTGAATCCAGCAAAAAGTATGTTAAGTCAAGATTACAAGACAAACCTATGGATCGTAACATAAAGCCTCATAAGCTCATGCATTTTGGGATCATCAAATCCCAACATATGCGAGAAATTTGCACCATAATCTAGAGATTCGTCCAGGGGTATGATCTTTCCATCCTTGAATATCCTGCAATACCACAGTTCAAGTTCACAAAGTTAAAATACTTATATGTAACAGAGATCAACAGGAAGCAGAGGGAGACATGAAGCTGTACTCGACTTATAGAAAATACACGACAAAAGCAACATCATGGAAATAATAAGCTGAAGCAATATTCTCTCTAGCATCATAAAAAAAGGAAAAAAGAACTTTGCAACCCTCATAAGAACTAGAGCACATACAACAACGCTAAATTTGGTAGTTTGGAAAAGGTATTAAATAGTCAGAGACCTTCGATAGACATAAGCAGCCACAGCTGGAAGACGAGCAATCAGATTAAGAGAATCTTCAAATGTAGGCTCCCAGTACCTGAAAATAATACCATGTACAAACCAGTACTTCAAAGATCTGGATCTTCGGGGACAAATAAATACTTGAAGAAAGATGCCTTACTTCGATTTGTGAATACCCTGGTCATATGCTTTCTGAAACTCGCTTTGGACCTGGAAGAGACCATTTGGGAATGTCACCAACGTCAACGATAAGAAGGTAAAGATTCATAATTATCTACAATTACTTTCTCTCATATCTCTCTAGATCACTTTAAATATTTAAATGAATGGTTATTTAGGTAACCGCAGCTGAACAAGAGACCAATCAAGGAAACGGAACGGCTAAAACTAATTGTCAGCATCAAGAGAAAACAAGCTGTCACGACTCTCCATACGTTTCTCCAATTTCACACGCTACCATTTTCTGCCATGCAGCCATTACATCCTGAGGCTTGGCCAAAGAGGGATAATATCTTCTCCAAAGTAATAAGTGGCTGCAGGGACCTCTTACAATTCATGTCAGAGGTCCGTACATCAATTTGTACAGCAAAGTTCCCACAAACTCGTACAGAGGCTTTCACATTATTACTTGGGGGAGACACCCGACGCTGAATTACCGTTTCAGGAGACAGAGAAACAAACATCTAAGAACAGAAAAGACGAAAAACAGGCCAGCATTGAGATAAACCTGAAGGGCCATGACACCAGTTGTAAACTGAGTCATTGGATGAGCTGAGACAGGGAGAGCATCAATAGCCTTAAATGCATAATCTGCAAATATATAAAAATAAAAAAGGAGGAAGAGACAACCCGATCAAATTATGGTCAGAACCCTAAAGGATGTAAGACTTCAATGGATGACATATGGCACAGAAAACCATCTAACCTAGGAAATTAATTTTACAGTGATCAACTAAGTAAGTTTATAGGAATAAAGATTGTGGTGAGCATGGAAAGCGAACAAATGGATTGCTTCTCAGAGAAGTCAAATGAAGATATGAAAATATTGCCACAATTACACATGTCCAGAAAGTGTAAAATGATGAGCCCTGAAGTAGAACAATACAAAATGATTAGTCATCAACAGACCTGGGACAGTAGCACGATCTCGCAATTCCTTTGATAGCGCATTAACTTGCTCCTTGCTTGGCACCTTAAACATAGAAGGACAAGAAGAAAAAGTGATTGAGGTCAGGTAAGGAAAAGGAATGGATGATTATATCCAATGAAGATGTAGCTTCTTAATCGTTACGAAACTAATTCACCTTTCCAGTTAGAAGAAGCCAAAGAAGACCCTCAGGCAATGGTTCTCCATTAGGCTGTGCAGCCGGTAACACCTTTTGGCACTCTGGAATTGAGAGACCTCTAAAGCGAATTCCCTGAACAGTAATTGATTATCATCAGAAGGCAACCCACAAAAAACGTTCATTAACCACAAGGAACATGAAGTGGTCACTTAAGTTAGTTGACACCAGTAGTTTCCTCAATTTTTTAAAAGAAAAAAGAGTATAATTTTACCTCTTCCGGATCTAGCAGTGAGGTCTCCCATAGCAATCCAACCATTCCTCTCATCCCACCAATTACCTTTCAATCGAAATGCACAAAAAGAAACAAAGATTACCTCTAGAAGTCAGGAAACTGATGAAAAGATAAAAGAACCTCGAAACTCCATCTGAAAGACAAAACGAAAGAACCTAAAAGGGTATTTACCATGTCAGTGGTGATGTTTCCTAGTTGAACTTTTCCGTAATCCGATCTAATTTTTTTAAGGCGCTCCTGCAATCATATTAGACGAGATCATTCAGAGAGCTCCAACAATTGCTTTTCACATTCAAATTGTCAGAAGAGGAAAGATCATTTTTTTTTTCTAGCAGGTCACAAACAAAATAACCAAGAAAGGGAAATGCAGCAAACCTGTTGTTCTGGGATCAACTCTTTCAACTGGGAGTGCAGGTCCTACAGTCCACAAGGAAAAACCAAAATCGTCCAACCAAAACCCACAAAAAGGCAGCAGAAACAATTAAGAAATGACTAATACATCCGAAAAAAGAGCTCCGGGAGCTCAGATGCATGCACCACATTTAGCAAGAACCAGGGAAGTGTCATCACCATTGTGAATGAAAGAGCAAGGATATCACATTATAAACGGGAATACAAGGAGAAGGAAGTTACGAGATCGGTTGAAGTCTGCATTTGAAGCCATCTAACGGAGCCGAGATTATTAGGCTGTTGAACCTGACAGTAATCATCGCACAGAAAGTTCAAACAATCAATACCCTGAACAGTAAGAGACAAACAAGAAAAGCCACTACAACCCGACAGCAAATGGGGGAAAAATCTGATAGCTTACAGTGCGGGAACGGAGAGTGGAAAGACGGGAGAGGCATCTAAACAGCACCATGGCTGGCTTTCCTCTGAAAAGCTCCAAATTCACTCAAAAATATCACACCTGAGACAGCAACAGCCATTAACAAACACAACCCAGCAGTCAATTCATTCATTCATTCATTCACTCCATCTCAATCTCGACCAACAAAAAGTACCCACCGGCGGAAACCAAATCAAATCAAGAGAAGAAGAAAGGGAAAAGATACAATCAAGCGTCCAGCTGAGCAAACAGCGGATCTCGATCGCCAGGAGATGAAATTTTACCTTGTTCGGCGGTGAGCGTTGGGATGCCGAAGGAGAGGGAATCAAAGTAAATATGGGGGAAAGGGCGTAGGGAGTCAGCGGAAGGATTCCGAGGAAAAGGGAGAGAGAAGCGGGTCGGGCGAGAACTCTGCAATGTGGTGTGGGTATTTTGCTTCTCTTCTTTCAGCGAGTTTACTTGGACAGGGAGAAAAATTAGAAGCCGCGAGAAAAGGGAAAATCAAACGAACCGAACTTTATTATTATTATTATTCCGTCGTCGTCGGTCGGCCCGTCTGAAAGGTCAGAGAGGTCGGGGCCGGTGACCCTTGGCGCAGGAATGTTCAGCGACACATGCTTATGCACGGCCACCAGTCAAGGCTCCGGATACTATAATAACAGCCTATTTGTTGTTACCGTAACAACAAGGGCAACATAGTAAAATTACAATTAAATAATAAAATAAAAATCAAATTATTTATCAAAGGCGTCTTCCTCTTCCTCCGTTGTGCTTCGCCATCCTCCACCTCGAGACGGCCGATCCTCCGGACGAATTGAGACGCACGCCATCGCCACGCCCACCAGCGCCTGCAGCTTCTCCTCGGCGCCACCTTCGTTGCCCGAAGAAGCCGGGTCGTCCCCTGAATCCGTCTCTTCGTCACGGACGGAGCGGACCCAGGTGGGAATGTCGGAGCCGTACTGCATAACCAGGTCATGAAAGGGTGTTTTCCCCGTCAGGAGCTCCAGCAGCAGCACACCGAAGCTGTGGACGTCGGGTGATTGGGTGGTGGGGAGCTCAGATGATCTCCACACTACTCACCCCACCCGCCGCCGTCGCCCAGAACGACACCACCCGCTCCACCCGCTCGACTTCTCCGTCCTCTGCTACCTAAAATCCCCATCATCGACCGCACCCAAGCCTGCCAGCACCTCCGCCAGGGCCTTCGCCTCGTCCAGTCCGACTACCTCCGCCGGACCAACGATTTCCTCCCGCCGCTCTCCTCCGTCGAATCCTGCTGGCGCTCTTACCAGCACCTCGTCGACGACTTCCTCCGATCCCGGAAAGGAAGGCGCAAGAACACGAACAAAAGGAGAAGGAAGCTAAGCTAGACGACATAATAACGGAAAACTGAAAGTAAAGAAAAAGAAAGGAAGAGAAGAGAAGTGGAGGATTTGAACGACCGGCTGTCGGAGCTGCTCTCCACCATCGACTCCGACGGTCCCGAGGCCGCCATTATCAGGAGCTTGCTCATGTGATTTGATTTGATATCATGTCAAGTAGCCACTCCATATAATTGACGCAAACAATATATATACATATATATTTATGTTTCGGCCGTGCAGTGCTAGCTAACCATCTTCATGTGTGTGAGATTGATTCATGATCTCTACTCTACTGTGAGACCGTAAAGCAAACCATAAATCTCCTAGTGCATACCACAAATCCATTAAAACAAAACAGAAACCCCACAAATCAAACCATAAAATTTTCGAAAGCACACCATAAACTTCTTGATGCAACCCAGAAACACAATAAAACAAACCAGAAACCTCGCAAACCAAAACACAAAAGTTTCGAAAGTACACCAGAAACTTCTTAATGCAAACCAGAAACCTCCTAATGCATACCACAAATCTCCTAAAACAAACCACAAACCTCACAAGCAAACCACAATATTTGCGAAGCACACCAGAAACCTCCTAATGCAAACCACAAACACAGTAAATCAAACCACAAAAAACAAACCATAAACGTCCTAATGCAAACCACAAATATATTAAAACAGATCAAAAACCTCACAATGCAAACCACAAAGTTTTTGAAAGCAAACCAGAAACTTCTCAATGCAAACCACAAACACGATAAAGTAAACCAGAAACTTATTAATGCAAACCACAAACACGATAAAGCAAACCACAATAGGCATACAAAAATATGAGAAACCAAACCATAAATCTCACAATGTAGACCATACATCCGGTGGTCGTTGACCGTCTTCGTTGACCGGTCAACGAAGTTCGTTGACCGAACTCCGGTGACCGTCAGTGAGCAGATTCCGACGCCGATAGGCATATTTCTGCCCCGATGACTAGATTCCGACGCTGGTAAGCATATTCCGACGCCGGTAAGCATATTCCGACGCCGGTAAGCATATTCCGATGACAAAATAGCATATTCCGGCGACAAAAAAACATATTCCGGTGACCGGCAACCAATTTCCGGCGACCGGTGACAGAATTCCGGCGACCAAAAATTTGGGCCAAAAATAAAAAAAATTATTTTTATTTTTATTTTTTATTATTATTTAAACATATTTTTCATAATGACAATTATACCCCTGCTTTGATTTTACACTAGGTCAACTCATCTAATAAAAAGTCATCACAACTCTAGCTTCTTATTGGTTGGAGACTAGTGTTGTTACAATAACAACACAATGGGTGTTGTCATAGTAACCGGTCCCACCAGTCAACGTCGGGTATAAAATTTGCGAAATTTCAATGTATCCTATATTCCTATATAAATATTTTGGTGGTCGATGAGTAAGGTTAAAGTACAATGAGCGTTAGAGCTATCAAAATATAACCCGATTTAAGTAACTCGTTCGATCAACATGACACATGACATATTTTCTCTAATTTAATTTCACTAAAAGTCAACGACTCGTAATTCGAATGATTTGCCATCGACTGATTTGAAACCCGATTAACTCAATTTGAACCCATCTAAACCCAATTGCTTGACATGAATACATATAGTTCAGACTAGCGTACACCAAAAGTACGCTTACTTTACAGTACGTCTGTCAAGTTTTGTGGTTTATCCTTTTTTGTGGTTTATCCTTTTCTTTTAACGATAATTTCTTAAGAGGGGAATCTGCTCTCAACCAGGGCCCATACCGCACGGATCTTCATTTTCAACATCTTCTTCCAAAAGTAGAGGGAAAAACTTTTTGAGATGACCAAACAATCCATATTTGAAGCAAAAGATGGGTAGTCTCTCATAACCAACTCTATAGGAGACTGGACTGTCTTTACTTTGCATTTTAACAATCCTTCTTAGAGGTTTCTGAACACACAAAGACACCCTGATACTCATATAGTCACTGCTAACTCAAGAGTGCGATTCATCCCAACGGATGAAACTTCCAAACATTGTTCCAACTTTCTCAGCCATATGAAAATTCCTCATATTCAAAGGAAACTTCCTAATACGAACCCAGAAATCAGCACATGAAAAGTCCAGTTTCGTCAAATCCATATCAGGAAGAACTTCCTTAAAAATTAGTAGCTAATGCTCGAGGTGCCACGGTCCTCCAAAGAGAACTTTGTTCTTGTCTTCATAACAGTAGAGTTGAATGCTCAATATATCATCTTCTGTTACTTGTAGATCAAAATCTCTTTTCAGCTTCCAGGCTTCACTGAGAATCCTATTAAGAATTCGAGCAGATGGGGCATGCCTTTAATGACTTTTCCAGCAAAACCCAGTTCTTTTATGACTTCCTCAACCCCTTCTATAGCAATCGTTTCTTCAATACTAATTACCGCTTCCTCTTCTTCAATTAAATCAATACCAGACAATTTTTTACTAGCTCATTTTCCATAACTGATGCAGGAAAACTAGAATTTGACAGCCGCAAAGCACATGCCTCTCAAGGGAGACCAAAAGACAGCACAAGACACCTCAAACCAGGATACAGGGGAAACGGTTTCAAAAGGGCAGGGAAGGTAGGTGGGTCAATGATGGGAAAGGATGAAAAGACTCAGGACAGGGGTTGATCTGCAATCAAAGAAACACACTCCGAACACTTGGGAAGATGAAACGTCATAACTTGAAGACAGTGAGAAGACGGAGGGAACTCTGCAGAGACAGCAAAACTTTTGTTTTGGGGGAAAAAAGGAGGGTGGAAAATTTTGGTGTTTTCAACTTTTTTGAGGGGAAAAAAGAAATTTTGGTGCTTCAAGTTTGGTGCTCAAAGTCATTAGGGTTAATTGGTCGATAGTTGTGTGTCCGGGCTTCTTGAGTTGATTTTGGTGGCACTGATCACATGACTCAACAACTTTAGGGTTATGTTGTTAATGGTCCTTAGAGTCCTTTTGGTCAGCATGTTTCACACGCTCAGCTTCTCTTTCACTTATTTATTATGCCCCTACTTCTTGTGCATGATATAATCTGAACAAGTGTAACTGTGTGAATTTGTTATAAGGCATAATGAAGAAGTTGTTGAGAAGATGATACATGTCTGGCTGGTTAACGTAGTTCGTTGGCTTGCAGGTAACGATGAGCTTTGGTGCTTTAAGAAGAAGAAACGCGAGAAGGATGAAGTTCGTTAGTCAGCCATCATGGCCTTCATGTTTCTCGAGGGGCTTCCTCCTCTTTGTATTAGTACATGCAGTAACATTATTGAGAAGTCACGTTCACTAGTGCCTTGAGAACAAAGAGGTCTTCCGTACATTAGAGTCTCCCAAACAAAACACATTTCGATTCATCCTTTCACCTACCACTAAACTCTACAATCAAAATCACAGTTCTGATCACTACACTCTTTTCTTGTTGCAGCTGCTCCATCCGAACTCTCAAGCTTTGTTGCTCCCACCAAGCTGTGACCTATTCTCTTTAGCCTCAATATCATGAATCGATCATTCTTTTTACAAAGCATATACATGTTGTAAAGAAAAACTTCTGAATAGTATGGATTGTGTTCTTCTTACAAAGTAGAGACATGTTGTAAAGACAAAACCTCTGAATAGTATGGAGTTAACACACTGCATACGAAAGAAAGGAAGCATGAGGTGGTTAATTAATGGAATGTATAATCATCATACAATTCACAAAGCAAGTTCTGACTGAGTGTCGGTCTCCTAAATCCAGTCAATAATATAAGCTGAAAGGTGTCTGGTCATTTGGTTGCCAGAACCTGGAATTGACCAAATTTGTTCTCCATTAGTAAGGAAATACATAGAATGAAGTTGCACATCAACAGCTATAACTTGAGATAAACAAGATAGTTCTCAATATGTGTAAGTGTCACATATAAAACCCAAATTAGCTACTAAATCCAACCTCGGAAAACTGAAGAGTAAAAGACTACATACATCATTAGCTTTTCACTGTCCTCCTTTCATTATACTAGTGACCTTATTTATAAAAATAAAGAATCGAGATGAACATTTTCTTAAACCTTAGGGGTTTGAGCAAATGGAAGATGAAAAAATCGTCTTCGATCAGCTCATGTGCAGCAGAAAAGGACCTTCATCCACCACTCAACTTTACCGTGAAGGGCAAACAATTGTCGAATTTCATTTCTTGTACATAGATTATTACCACGAGGTCAGTTATGAGATCATCCTAAAGTAGAATGAAGACCATTTTCATTCCTTTATAGCACAAACAAAAGAGCAAACAGAGAGAGAGAGAGAGGGAGGTTTCAGTTACCGGAGATGGCGATGACGTCCACGCCAGGCAAATCAGAATGGAGGAAACCCAACACATTCTAAAAACCTCCGGAGATGAAGCAGTCGTCGGTGGTGGCCATGGGGATGGAGTATTCGCTGCCGTCGAGCAACTAGGGATCGACGATTCTAACTGGGATCTGGACGTATCCGAAGGGCATCTCGTAGCACTGATCAAAGCTTGAATCGTAATCGAATCGATTATATTCAGAGACATCCAGTGATCCTATGCAGGGCCTCGCGGCGTATAGAGGCGGCGCGCTTGCAATCACCCAATTTGGCAGGAGGAGATGGGAGCTGCCAACGCGAAGGGGTCAATGTCGAGCATGTTACTCGTCATTTGTTAGAGACTATCGTCGATGGAAGTTGAGAAAGTGTACTTCTGATTCGAGTGGTTGTCGAACCTTGTTCTTTGTTTTCTGATTTTGCCAAGCAGTTACATAAATTTTAATTTAATTAATTGTAAAGAGACAAACAAAAACAAAGCGTTTAACGGAGAGAACTCCGTCACTCTAGTACAGGTCGTCTGGGCCAACCGGGAGTTCGGTTGGGATTTTATTTAACAAAATCACGACCACGTCACAGTCCACGTGGACCAGTAAAAAACGGAGTCACTGGTGCCGCACTTTTTAGAACGGCACTATAGTATTTGCCTATAAACTGACGTATGGCGGAACACTAACATTGACATACGGAGACAAAATTAGGTTTCCTCTGCAAATTTTTCTTTTCGCCGCCAGTTCATCACCCATCCAGGAAAATTGTACGAGCTAGCTACCTACTAATTTCATTCCAATTTCTAAGCTCATCTCCCAGTGAAGTAGATACCATTACCGGCCGATAGCCTCATAGCCTCATAAACTGCAATCTTGAAGTTGAAGGTGACTTTTCGAATTCTCTTTCTTCTTAATTTACTAAGGCAGTTTTTCTTTTGTTTTCCTGCTTGCAATCGAGAGTTTCATGGAGCTATATATATTACACACACTTATATATATTCATTGAAACAGAAGATCATAGTTTCATAATTCTATATTAAGATGTTCATGTGGCTTAACTTGAGAGCTTTTCCCATGTGATTACTATCTACATCTTTTACTTTAAAACTTAAATAATTTTAATTTGACAATTTGAAGGATGGCATGGCAGTATGCATGTAGGTCATTCGTCAGTGTATATGTGAACACTATTCCTAAGCCAGGTTAATCCTCTGTTTCTTTTTCCCAAATCCCAATCATTATTATATTTCCACCGAGTACATTTTGGCTTTTAGTCTTACACAAACTTAACTAGATAGAATAATGAATATTATTATATGACATGTTACATTTTCAAATTTGGAACTCGTATAATTAGTTTTGGCGTTAGGCAAGAACGGGTTCGTTTGGAAGTTGTAATTGTTAGAGTTGTGTTTGTTGAATACATGTATTGTGCTCAATACAATGTTTGGAAGTGTCAAAATGTAAAACAATGCATGCATTATTTTACGTAGGTCCCACCAACAATCACAAAAAATGATGCATTATACAATCTCAACTTTGATTGTTGGTTTTAGATTTGTGTCAACTTTTTCTTTCGATTTATATCCCTAATAGTTTTTGTTTTATTCTAAAAATTGAGGATAAATGTGGCATTTACCCATAAAAATAACTTTATGTAAATCAATGCATAAAGTATAATCTCAACAACCAAACAATGTATTGTTAAAATGCATCCATTGTATCAATACATGCATTTATATTATGGTGATTCATTACAATGCAACGATTTAACATTCGTAACTTCCAAACGACCCTAAGTTCTGTTGGTGGAGTTTAAGTTCTTCTGGTATGTGCAAGTTGTCGGACTAATTTTTTTTTTGTTTCAGCTTTCTTTGATTGGATTTATAATCCATTTATTTTGATTTTAAAGTTCTCTATTATATATAATTTCTAATGTTTGATATATTTACACGCCCGTACTTTTATTGACGTATCTATGATGAAAATTCATATTATACACGTAAAATTCATTAGACGTATATTTAAAATGTCCATTTTTTTTTGCCAAACCTTTTAATCGTACTAATAAGTCAAAATGAAGCATTATTGTCATACATATTTTTGTCGTACGATACCCGTACCGTATTTTACTAACTATGCCTCATTTATGCTGGTCGTTGAGATGGACGTGGACGGTTGAGATTGTCTGGTGTACGACTCACAAAAATGAGTGCGTTCAATGCACCCAACTCAAAAACTAGTCTTAAGGTGTCGGATTTAGAATTTTAATTTATAGAATTAGTGTAATCTGATGATATAACAAATGATAACAACTAATTAGTGAATTACCCTAAGCCCTAGACCTCCAATTTTGAGTTCTATCCCTAAACCCCAAATGTAAACCCTAACCCTAAATCTCTAAGCTCTAAATCCTTCAAATTAAAGTAAATCTTTAATGGTTTTTGTGCAAATTCATGTGCTTTATTGTTCATCACATCATAAGTGATGTTTGACATCATTTTGACATAAACCGCATGTTTAAAATGACGGTTATGGAGCGAGTGCGCTGAATGCACCCCAAAAAGTGAGTGCACCAAAGTCGCCACCATATATAGATATAGATAATTCATATCTTCTTTTGTTACTACATTTCTCTTTTCGTTGCAAAATGCTGCCAACATTTCTTTTTGCTTGATATATATTGCCACCCAACTTCTTTCTTCCCTTTTCTATATCTGTTTTGAAAATCAAAGTCTGAACTTCACTTTAAATTAACTATAGTAGCAAAATCATAACAAATAAGAATATATGGTTAGTGTATAAGGTACATGATTAGTGTACAGGGTATATGATTTAGGATATATGTTTAGAGTATAGCAAAGATACATTTTTCATCTATGTTTTGAAAATCAAAGTCTGAAATTTCACTTTAAATTAACTATAGTAGCAAATCATAACTCATAAGGATATATGGTTAGAGTATATGGTACGTGGTTAGGGTATAATGTATATGGTATATGTGTAGGGAATAGCAAAGATCCCTTTTCAATATATGTTTTGAAAATCAAAAGTCCGAATTTCACTTTAAATTAACTATAGCAGCAAAATCGTAACTCATAATGATATATGGTTAGCGTATTAGGGTATAAGGTATATGGTCAGAGTATAGCAAATATCATTTTTTAATCTATGTTTTGAAAATCAAAGTATGAATTTCACTTTAAATTAAATTTAGTAGCAATTTAGATTTCTCCCCAACAATTTCACTAATATTATGATAATTAAAAAAAAAAAATTTTGAAAACCCCAAATGTATAATTAAAATTCACTACACCACTTTCTCCCACAATTTAGATTTCTCCTCGCTTTCCCCTCCCCCAATTTAGATTTCTCTCCAAAAATTTATCCATTTCCCCCTACAATTTAGATTTCCCCTCGACCTGTTTCTTTCAATGATTGATGATCAGTTGCTAGGCACTATTGGTAATTGCTTTGTCTTGCTTTTGTTTTTGGGGTTAGTTTATAGTTATCGATCATATTGTATACATCCTAGTTGGTAAGAGTTGATGTCAACAATAGTTTTAGTTTTTTGATGATATAACATAAATCGATTCATAAAAAGAATTAATATATAAATAATAGTCAAGTTAGCATTCTAATTCATTAAATACGATTATTAAACGTGTTATACGTGTTTAGTACGAGATCCATCAAATGAATGGAGAAAAATGAAACGATTTGACAATAATATGAATATGTAAGTTTTAGACGAATAAAATACACATGAATATATGTGGTGGCGTATTCGGTGCACCCACTTTTTCGGGAGCACTTAGTGCACCCGCCTTATAATTGTCATTCTGACCATGCGATTCATGTCAAAACGGTATCAATTGTTGCTTATGATATTATGAACAAGAAGCACATGGATTTGAAAAAAATTCATTAAAAATTTACTTTAATTCGAAGGATTTAGGATTTAGGGATTTAGGGTTAGGGTTTAGGTTTACAGTTTGGGATTTTGGGTTGGGATTCAAAATTGAAGGTTAAGGGGTTATGGTAATGGATTGATTTGTTATGATTCTATGTCATATCATCATATTATATTGAGAGTACTAATTAAAATTCAAAATTTGATGTATTATGGACGCTTTTAGAGTTGGGTGCACTGAGTGCACCCAAAAAAGTGAGTGCACCGAAGTAGCCACCGAATATATATATACCTGTATTAAACCAACTATTCTCCAAATACTGTGATTTTCTTACATCTAACATATTAGGGTAAATACAATATATTAGCCACAACTATTATGAAGCTGGGAATTATAGCCACAATTATGGAAATTCAAATTATTAGCCAAATGTTAAATCTCTGTTAACAATTCCGTTAGTAATGCCGACTAAACTTTTATTTTTTAAAGTTATAAATTAAAAGCAGTCCACCGTGGCTGCTGAACGGACAGTTAGCCATATCTTGACCCACAACAATAGTAATAGTTAATAATTTGAATTTACATAGTTGTTGCTATAATTCCCCGCTTCATAATAGTTGTGGCTAATATATTGCAAATATGATTACTACATAGAGGTAGAATTTCTAAGATATCAAATGACTTGTTTATCAACAAAAGTTAAAATGAATTACTTGTAAATGACTTATTCCCAAATGATTAATGGAGGAACTTGTTATACCAACAGATAAAAATGACTAATGGAGGAACTTGTTATACCAACAGATAAAAAGGACCAATGGAGTGTGTCAGGCGTTTTACAATTAAAAAAGGGGAGAAATTTCCGTTGCCGGGATTTGAACCCGGGTCTTTCGGGTGAGAGCCAAATATCCTGACCAACTAGACTACAACGGAGCTGTTGTTGTAGATGCTACTCGTCCCTATAAATAATCGACGTTGAAGTAGAGTGAGCATACTGACATGCCTCCAGGGTGTTAAAATGCTGTCTAATATGCTTTATTTGTTCTTCAACAGCTGCAAAACAAAGCATCAAACTGAGTCCACAATAGATTAGAAACCCAATTTCTTAGATTCTGATAGCTTTTCGAACGGTTTCTCGTGTTCTCTCGAAATATGCTTATAACTCGACACTCAACAGACTAATGCTATGTTTGGCAACAAGGGGGTGCAAATTCGAGGGGGGCGCAAATAGAGGTACAAATTATAGGGGGGAGCAAATTTGAGTAAGGTGTAAATTGGGGTGCAAATAGTTGTTTGAGAGAAAAAGTAGGAGGGTGCAAATAGGTAGGATATGTTTAATTAATAATATTTTATCAATAAAAATAATACAAAAATTAAATAATTAATATTTTTTTAATCTTCCCCATGGGTTAACTCTGACTCTCTCTCTCCGCGTTCAACCTTTCCTCCCCATTTCATTCTTCCTTCTCTCTCTCACTAATTTCCTTCTTGACAAAATTAACCAGACAACCAAATCCACAACGTATCATCTACTTCCTCTATCTTTCTGCCTTTCCATCTTCCTTCTCCGATTTCTCCGACCCTCTCTCTTCCTCTCTCTATCTCATGAATCCAATCCCTCAAGCTCTCCGGCCCAGGATGATTTCCAGCTCCATTCCCTCCATCACTTCAGCTTCAGGTCGACAAAGGAAGATTTCATCCCGCCGTCGATCTTCCCACAGCTCCTTCGATCTTTCTCAGGGGGATCAGAATAGCGACGATGAGGAGGTCGGAAGATGGAAGCCGCCGGCGAGAGGAGAGACGGGATCTGAATTCTAGAATCTAGATCCGGTAAGTTTCGGGCATGCATGTTGTTGTTGGGCGCAGCGGGTGAGAATAGCAGGTAAATATATTGGATTAAAAAATCACACGCTTGTAAAAAGTTCACAGGTAAGTTGGACCTGGTGGCAGAGCCTCCAGAATTACGGTAACCAACTTACTTAGATCAATTTACTTCGGTAATTTAATAACGCAATATACTACGACTATTCTCAAAATGACAACAAGCATAGACAATAATAAATGGCACAGAGGATTTACGTGGTATACCCTGATTTTGGGCCAGTCCACGGGAACAACAGCTCCAGAGTATTTCTTCACTATTGCAACAGTAGGTTACAGAGATTTTCAAGATACAAGGAAATAGAACACTCGGTGTTTCCCGGAACAACCTCACTATTTCACTCACAAGGAAATCTCCTATCTACCCGTGGTAGTGAAAACGTTTCACTACCAAAATCCACAAAAGAAATACGAACAGAAGCAGAGCAAAGGAAATGGAGAATAATGGAATGGTGAAGGATGATGGAAATGAGGCTACTGCCTCTGCCTTTTATAGGCTAATGGAGACAAAGGGAAATTAATTCCCACCTGCTCACTCACCTCCCCAACTGCAGCTTACACTTCTGCATTATCTATTTAATTTTTTTTTCTTTTCACAAATACCACCGCCAACCTTGTTGGCCATTCCCCTGCCACATGAGTCGGGCCCAATAATTCTCCCCTGTCCGACTACATGGGCGATGTCGTCATCCCTGCAGCTGATCGACAGAACTCAAACTTTTCTCTTGGAAGAGTCTTGGTACACATGTCAGATCCATTTTCGTCAGTATGGATCTTCTCTAGTTGTAACTGCTTCATTTCAAGCACATCTCGAATCCAATGATATCTAACGTCGATATGTTTTGACCGAGCATGAAATGAAGCATTCTTCGCAAGATGAATAGCACTCTAACTATCACAGAACAACTGCGGTCGTTCCTGTTGGAACCCAAGTTCATTCAGGAACTTCTTCATCCATATCATCTCCTTGCATGCTTCCGTTACTGCTATATACTCAGCTTCTGTTGTGGACAGAGCTACACACTTTTGTAGCCTTGACTGTCACGATATTGCTCCCCCTGATAAGGTAATCAGGTACCCAGAAGTGGACCTCATCGAATCAACATCACCTGCCATGTCAGCATCTGTATAGCCAACAAGGACAGGTTCACCATCTCCAAAACATAGACTCATTTTGGAGCTACCTCGAAGGTATCTGAGGATCCACTTCACAGCTTCCCAATGTTCCTTTCCTGGTTTGGAAAGAAACCGACTGACAACTCCAACTGCATGAGCAATATCTGGCCTTGTACACACCATGGCGTACATCAAACTTCCCACTGCCGAAGCATATGGAATTTTATCCATCTCCGCCTTTTCCTTCTCAGTAGACGGGCTCTGTTTGGATGTCAATGTAAAGTGGTTAGCAAGAGGACAGCTAACCGCCTTAGCATTATCCATGTTGAAACGTTGAAGTACTTTCTCAATGTACTTCTCTTGTGACAACCATATTTTCTTAACACCTCGATCCCGAACGATCCTCACGCCAAGAATTTGCTTTGCTGGTCCCAAGTCTTTCATGGCAAAAGACTTGCTCAACTCCTTCTTTAAATCATTGATCTTTGAGACGTTTTGCCCAGCAATTAGCATATCATCCACATAGAGCAAAAGTATGATGAAATCTCCATCAGGAAATTTCTTCACGAACACGCAGTGGTCTGAAGTAGTCTTCATGTAGCCTTGCTCCCCCATAACAGACTCAAACTTCTTATACCACTGTCTTGGTGCCTGCTTCAAGCCATACAAGCTCTTACGGAGCCTGCACACATAGTCCTCCTTTTTCTCCTTCTTGAAGCCTTCTTGTTGCTCCATGTAAATCTCTTCCTCCAAATCACCATGAAGGAAAGCAGTTTTCACATCCATTTGTTCAACCTCCAGGTTAAGACTTGCTGCTAGTCCCAACACAGTACGAATGGATGTCATCTTTACCACAGGTGAAAATATCTCGTCAAAGTCAATGCCTTTCCTTTGACTGAAGCCTTTCACAACTAGTCTGGCTTTGAGGCGTGGCTGACGGTTGTGTTCATCATGTTTAATCTTGAACACCCACTTGTTCTTCAAAGCTCTCTTGCCTTTGGGCAATTTCACCAGCTCAAATGTCTTGTTCTCATACAAGGAATCCATCTCGTCTTGCATGGCTTCTATCCACCTTTGCTTGTGTTCATCATTCATAGCTTCTGTGAAACTTTCTGGTTCTCCCCCGTCAGTAAGTGACACGTATTCAGTCTCAGGATATCTGCTAGAGCGTCGTGTGACCCTACCAAATCTCGTCATTTGAACAGGAGAACCCTCAATGGCTGGTGGTTGACCATCGTCATCAGCATCTTCTGGTTGAACCTCCACATGAGCATCTTGTTCAACTATCTCAGGCTGATCATGTTGTGCTTCTTCTCCAACTTCTGTAAGCGCCGGCGTTGGAGGTACTAGCCCAAGGCTTGGTTGACTAGCATCAGTACTAGGAACTTCTTTCCTAGCAACAACATCTTCGATGGTCTCATTTTCGATGAACACAGCATCACGGCTTCTGATAAGCTTCTTCTGGATTGGATCAAAGAATCTATAGCCAAACTCATTTTGACCATAGCCAATGAATACGCACGGTCGCGTCTTTGAATCCAACTTTGACCTTTCATCCTTTGGAATATGGACAAAGGCCTTGCAACCAAACACCCGCAAATGTTTGTAGGAAACTTCTTTTCCTGTCCACACCTTCTCTGGAGAGTCATACTTCAGTGGCACACTGGGTGACCTGTTCCACACATAAAATGCTGCAAGCAGTGCCTCCCCCCAGAAAGATTGTGGTAGCTTCGAGTGTGATAACAAGCACCTGACTCTCTCTAGCAGGGTCCTATTCATCCTTTTAGCTAGCCCATTCAATTGCGGCGTCTTTGGTGGTGTGAATTGCTGCCGAATTCCGTGTTCCTTGCAGAAGGTAGCAAACGGACCTTTGTACTCTCCACCATTGTCAATCCGGATGCACTTCAGCTTCTTGCCAGTTTCCCTCTCCACCAGGGCCAGGAATTGTTTGAAAACGTCTAGGGCCTGATCCTTGGTCTTCAAGGTATACACCCAAGTCTTCCGTGAATGGTCATCAATGAATGTCACGAAATATCTGGCACCTCCAAGTGATTTGACATTGACATCGGGTTCACAGAGATCTGAGTGAACTAGATCCAACACGTTCTTTGCTCTTGAAGGGATGGAACTTTTGAAAGCAACTCGGTTTTGCTTTCCCGCAAGGCAATCGACACACTTCTTTAGATGAACATGATCCAACCCAACTATGACTTTTTTCTGGGCCAACTTTGCCATGGACTTCTCACTCATGTGACCGAGCCGTTTGTGCCACAATTCAATTGTGTCACCATTCTCCGCTGAGTTGACAATCTCTGGGGAGATCTTGGCTTCTGTCACATACAGCTTTGACAGCTTCTTGCCCTTGGCCAACACCAAGGAGCCTCTGGTGAGTTTCCACTGGCCATTGTGGAAGGTGTTGCAGTAACCTTCCTCATCCAACTTGTCTACAGAGATGAGATTTAGGCGCATTTCTGGAACATGCCTGACATCCTTCAGCAGTAGCTTCGTACCATTCATCGTCTCCAAGCAGACTTCTCCTTTTCCGATAACTTTGGAAAGATTACCATTTCCCATTCTTACCACGCCAAAGTCACCTGGTGTGTAAGATGAGAAAAAATCTCTCTTGGACGTCACGTGGATGGTAGCACCACTATCAACCACCCAGCTTGTCTCCTGGGTTGTCAGGTTGACAACATCTTCCTCGTAGACAATATTGAACTCATCTACAGAGTTTGCACCATCATCATCACTGTTCTCATCTCGTTTGCCCTTCTTTCTCTCATTTCTGAACTTTGGGCAAAATCTTCTGATGTGGCCCTTCTCCTTGCAGTGATGACAAAGGATGTTGGCAAACTTGTTGGACTTCCCTCGACTCTTGCCTCTTTGCTTCGAGCCTCTAGCTTCACTTCTTCCTTTGCTTCTGGAATCCACTGTCAGAAGGTCTGACTGGGAAGATGATGAGGATGCACCTTGTGATCTTTTTCGCATCTCTTCGTTCAGGACTCCGCTTTTGACAATCTCCATGTTTATAACTCCATCTTTCGCAGAGTTGGTAAGTGAAATTTTTAGCGTCTCCCAAGATTCTGGAAGGGAAGCCAGAACGAGGAGAGCGACCACCTCATCTTCCATCTTTATGCCCATACCGGACAACTGATCCACGATCCCTTGAATTTCGTTCAAGTGATCCGCCAAGGATTTGCCTTCCTTGTATTTCATCTGGACCAACTTGGTCAGATAAAATAATTTGTTGTTGCCGGTCTTTGATGCATAAAGTGCCTCCACCTTGTTCCACAGAGTTCTGGCATGAGTTTCTCCGCTAATGTGGTTGTATACATTATCGTCGACGAACTGTCGAATGTAGCCACATACTTGCTCATGCTTGAACTCCCATTCCTCTTCAGTTTTGCCATCAGGTTTAGTTGGGCTAAACACCGGCAAATGCAACTCCGTCACGAGTAGGAGATCCTTCATCTTGTTTCTCCATATGTGATAGTTGGAGTCATTCAGACTTATCATCTTGCTTGTTTTTGCCTCCATTGGACGTGGCTCTGATACCACTTGTTGGGCGCAGCGGGTGAGAATAGCAGGTAAATATATTGGATTAAAAAATCACACGCTTGTAAAAAGTTCACAGGTAAGTTGGACCTGGTGGCAGAGCCTCCAGAATTACGGTAACCAACTTACTTAGATCAATTTACTTCGGTAATTTAATAACGCAATATACTACGACTATTCTCAAAATGACAACAAGCATAGACAATAATAAATGGCACAGAGGATTTACGTGGTATACCCTGATTTTGGGCCAGTCCACGGGAACAACAGCTCCAGAGTATTTCTTCACTATTGCAACAGTAGGTTACAGAGATTTTCAAGATACAAGAAAATAGAACACTCGGTGTTTCCCGGAACAACCTCACTATTTCACTCACAAGGAAATCTCCTATCTACCCGTGGTAGTGAAAACGTTTCACTACCAAAACCCACAAAAGAAATACGAACAGAAGCAGAGCAAAGGAAATGGAGAATAATGGAATGGTAAAGGATGATGGAAATGAGGCTACTGCCTCTGCCTTTTATAGGCTAATGGAGACAAAGGGAAATTAATTCCCACCTGCTCACTCACCTCCCCAACTGCAGCTTACACTTCTGCATTATCTATTTAATTTTTTTTTTCTTTTCACAAATACCACCGCCAACCTTGTTGGCCATTCCCCTGCCACATGAGTCGGGCCCAATAGTTGTTTGGGTTAATTCCTTGAATTTTGGGTATCTATTGACTGCTTTTCTTGATTCTGCCTTATGGATTCTATTTTTTAGGTGTTACCGGCGGCCGGCGATGTGGGCTTCTTTCTCACGCTAGCGGAGACGAATTCATCGCAGGCAAATTTGATGGACGAAAGAGATACAAAAAAATATTCAGGAAAAAAAGAGAAATCATTCAGCTTTTTCTCTCTCCACTTCCGCCCCAATTTGGGGGCACACTAGAATAGTAGAATTGCACCTCCAATTGGCCGCCCCCCTACTGTTTAAAAGTTTGCCAAACAGGTGCAAACTCATCGGGAAGGGTATTTACCCCTGGAAATTACGCCCCCCCTACATTTACGCCTCTATCCAAACAGAGCGTAAAAAGATTCATTCAATTCAACAAGGAAGCTCTCGAGGAAAGACACCTCTCACGATGATAGAAGTGACAGCAGCATGATCCAGAAAGATGAAAGCAGCCATGCGAATCATATCTTCAGGACGCGGCTTGTTATTACTAAAAGCAACAGTGGTCCGTGACCAAAAAAAGATTTGCAGGTTCAAATTCTTGACTTCTTCCCATCATCTTCACAGCTTTGACAATTGTCGTAGAATAGCCCACCGACGCATCAACAAGGAAGTCTGCGGGTAATTGAAAAGAGAAAAATCGTCATTGCATGCAATGCTTCGAGATATGCATATAGACATGAATCAATGATCAGGTTGTCAGTCTTGTTAGACAGATATAAAGAGAGTTACCAGCATCATCTTTTTCTATCTCGGTAATCGTGTTGTCGTTTTATTGCTCGACTTGACCAATTATAGTCAAGCTCTCGAAAAACAATCTGCCAGAATCAGCAAGAATACAGCCATACGACTAGTTACAGCCTACTATTAACTACTTGCTAACACATGCTACTAGTTACAGTCACTATTAAACTCACTTTTTACAGTTTCGAATTGCTCTTGGCATTCCTGCAAAACTGGACTGTGCCAGGGCATTAGGAAACTCCAGACTACCATAAGTGCACTCTCAGCCTTAATCTGACCAAACACTTCCAACAAGCTTCTACCTTGTGCTCCAAAACTCCTCTTGCATCTTTCTCTAAAAATTAATGAAACGTACCAGCACCAAAGGCATCCATAAATGCGCCCATCCAGCTTACCTTGTGCAACAAGTCTGCAAATTTTGTCTACCGTCCCAATCCATTCGACAGGCCAGTGCGTGGTAGGGAACAGAGCTGCCAAAACAGTTCGAGAGTAAGGGCAAGCGCAGAAGACATGATCCCTAAGCAGTGTTCAAAAACACTCTGCCTAGGCGCTCGCCTAGGCGCGTTTAGTAGCTAGGCGAGGAGGAAACGTGGAGAGGAAGCCTGGGCGAAGTGGCTGGGCGCAATAAACGCGGAATCGCGTTGAAGAACGCCTAGGCGGCGAATAATAGCTTGGATCGGCGATTTCAAGCTCTAGGCGACGCCCAGAAAAAAAAAAAAAAAAAAAAGAAGACCATGCTCTGCGTTTTGGATGGGCCGAATAGGGGAAAACCCTAATGGGTTCTTCGATCAGCTGAGCAACACCCACAGTCGACCGCCTCTCTCCTTCGTCACCTCTCTCCCTTCTCTCCAACAGTCGACCGCTCCAGCCATCTCCAACAGTCGACCGCCTCCAGCAGGGGGCTTCGTCGCCGGCTGCAGCGTCCTCTCCGCCAGTCTCCAGAATCGCGCGCCGTCGGTCTCCACCATAGCCAATCGCGCCTCGTCCTCGCCGTCGGTCTCTAGCATCGCCAGTGCCCAACCGTGACGCGTCCTCGCCGTCGGTCTGTAGCATTGAAGGTACTAACTCTTCTTTCTCTTTCGATTGAAGACGAACCCAGAAGAGGAATCGACTCCAACAATAATGGGTTCTCGTCTTCGGATTGTGAAGAGAGCATCGTTTCCTCCCCTGTCCTCGGATTGCGAAGAGAGCATCGCCAGTGATCAGAGAGCTTCATCTTTAGGCTTTAGATGATAAAGAGAATAAGAATTGGCATTTGACAGGGGCTGCAAATTAGTGAACTTATGAATGTTATGTTTGATCTTGCACTCTAAACTTACATATTTATCATATATTTTTTTCGACGTTTAATCTCGCCTAGGCAACGACTAATCGGCCTGGGCGTTGGGCGGTGCCTCCGCGCTTAGGTGGCGCCCAGCGTCGTCTTGAACATTGTCCCTAAGACACAGCAATCAGAGTCTACAATCCCCCACTCTTTCAGCTGTACTCTCCTTTTGATTCGATTTCTTAGTATCAACCAGCATCATTAAACACATGGGTGGTTTTATTCGAAAGACGTTTCCATGGAGTCCTTCTTTCCCAACTAAAATACCGAGCTCTGCAGATGGCAAGGTGAAATGATGAGTAGCTAATAAACCAGATTGAAGAGAATTAATGGCAATATGCTCTATTAGTTTACCAGGGAGCTTCTCGAATAAGAGTGTTGTTGCAGCTTTGGCAGGAATCTTCTCCCTTCCTGTCAGTAACTAGCTCTCTGCCCACCATCTACCCTCTGTCTCTAATTTCTCCAGTGACTGAAACCAGATTGGACATATTACTTAAAGATTCATTCATCCCTTAACAGTCAGGAATTTTTCACCAAAGTCAAGTAAGAGAAGTTTCATCTTAGTCTCAAAATATCCAAATGTAGGTATACAAAAAAATTCTAAATGTATCAATTCATATATGCCTGCTTGACTATTTAATAGTGTTTGTAGAACCACACCGTACCAACCGTCCGACCAAAAAAACTGCCTATCCGAGTTCAAGCCTGTATAGGATTTTACCGGTATGAAACAGTTGAAACAGAGTTTGAGCACAAAATATACTACCACGAATTTATCCAGCACAACCTCTGATATGGATTTACAATCCTTGCTATTTATGCAGCAAATAGAAGACCAACAGCCAGATGCGATCTTCTCATCGAGCTTTTCTCATGGATTGATACCCTAGGGAAATCAGGAGGAGATGTTACAAGCTAAGCATAAACTTTTCATAGTGTTGTATGAAGTTTGGTCACAGAGCCACTAATCGGCTTTGTATTAGATACAGTGTGCATTAGCAAAGCATCTGATATGCAGACACACCACTGAATCTTCACATGGGATGAAAGTAAAGTTGGAAGGAAAATTAGTAATTACTTTCATATTTTTCTTTTAGATCTCTCAGACGTCCATTTCACCACTAAGCAACAATCAAATTATAGAGCATGGAATTCAAGCTAAAGCATTCAGAAGTTCTAGCGGAGAATACCTGTTGTATGGTGTACTTTCATGTGTTCAGAGACGAAAGTCCAATAGTATTCAAGCTTCCACCGTGAGCCATTTCTCAAAGATATCATTTCAAGATTACCACTGTATAACCTGGCCATCATCATCGCCAATACATTTGGCTCTTCTATTTGCTAGTTGCTACCATAATTTGCCCTCTTCATCCCAAAGGTCCTAACAGGCCTCTGGTTATACTGATTGCTGCATATCTTCCATTTCCTACCAGTAGTCCTTACAAGAACAGGAACCATCTCTGAAATGATGGAATCGGGTAGCATCTCTCACAATGATCTCTCTCCTAGTGAGCTTGGATATATACTTGATAGCCGTGTGACAATCGTTACATATCCTGAGGTTCTTCATTACCCTCAAAGTCATATTCTCTTTTGTACATATCAGCCCAAATGCAATCGCAAGCTTCTCACTGTGATACTTCAAGATCTGATCTTTTACCTCCACTTCAAGATCATGCAACACAGAAGCAGTATCAGGCACAAAGCCCATTTTTTTAATCTCGTCCCATATCCCGTCCATCTTCTCATATATTTCCAACTTCCGAGGATGCACCACATCATCAGCACCAAACACATGAACACTGTCCCCAACCTGAATCCAACTAGACCCTTGCTCTTTCTTTACTCCATTATCCTTCATCAACTTCCTCGTTTTGGCAGCGTCCTCCCATTTCCCAGAGGCAGAGTAGAGATTCGCGAGTGATGAATATGCGCCACTGTTTTCAGGGTCAAGAATCAGCAATTTATCAGCAGCTTCTTTTGCCAGCTCGACATTTTTATGTACTTTGCAAGCAGAGAGAAGTGAACCCCATACAATAACATCTGGTTCGATAGGCATGTTTCGGATTAAATTGTACGCCTCTTGTAGTAACCCAGCTCGTCCAAACAAGTCCACCATACAAGCGTAATGACTCAGCGTTGGCTTGATGTTGTGAACATTTTGCATAAGGTTGAAGTAGCCTCTGCCTTGCTCCACGTGTCCTATATGTATACATGCAGAGAGCACACCAACGTAAGTTATATGGTCGGGGTTGATGGAAAGCGCCAGCATTTGATCAAACAGTTGGAGAGCATCTTCCCCGAGACCATGTTGGGCTAAAGCTATGATAATGGAAGTCCAGGTGGTCGTATCTTTGTTCCACCACCTTATGAGATCAAATACTTTTCGAGCATCAGCGATGCTTCCTGATCTCGAGTACATTGTAATGATTGCACTAGCAACTGATGATGATAGACGACCATTCATGGATCTCAAGATGCTTGCGTGCATTTGCTTTCCATGATTCAAGGAAGCCATGTTTGAGCAGACACCCAAGATAGCAGAAAGCGTGTGACTGTTGGGTGTTGGCCCTTCTTTGACCATTTTTCTGAACAGCTCCAGTGCAGCATTGTGTACACCATTCTGAATGTAACCTACAATCATGGCTGTCCATGCAACCACATCTTTCTCTTCCAAAGAGTTGAAAATCTGTCGAGCTGGAGCGATGTTCCCAAGCTTCATATATCCATCTAACAGAGCAGTAAACGCTACATCGTTGAGATTATCAATCCCTCTTAAGTTTATGACTCTGTGTGCAGCTTCAAGTCCTCCGCATTTTGCATACACTGAGACCAGAGCATTTCCAACAGCACCAGAAGTATCAAACTTTGTCCTAATAATATATCCATGGATTTGTTTCCCGTACTTTAAGTTCTCAGTATTGGCACAAGCAGATAAAGCACTTCCTAATGTGAACCTATTGGGTTTCAGTGAAGGATCCTTCATCATGCTCGAGAAGAATCTCAGAGCTTTTTTGTCATGACCAAGCTGATTGAAGCCAGAAATCATTGAATTCCAAGTGATGATATCGTGTTGACTCATTTTATGAAATAGTTCTACAGCTAGCTCGACCTTCTTGTTCTGCAAAAGCGATGTGATAAGGGTATTCCAGCTCGATATGTCTTTTGATTCCATTCTACTAAACACGGTTTCAGCCATGACCAAATCCTGACCCTTTGCGTACATATTGAGAAGTGAATTCGCCACAGGAGTGCACCCACTGAAGCCTAGTTTAACCACGAAAGAATGGATATTTTCCCCAATGCCCAGAGACCCAGTAGCAGCGCATGAAGCAAGCACATTCGTCAATGTGAACTGAGATGGCAATACGTCATCTTTCACCATCTCAGCAAACGTCTCGATTGCATTGGCAAAACTACCCATTCGATTATAACCCACAATCATCGTGGTCCATGTAACCGAATCCCGTTCAGGAATTTCATCGAACAGGAGACGGGCTTCCTCGATTGCCCCGTTTCTCAGGTACCCGGAGAGAATACCGTTCCACGAGCAGTTGGTCCTCACAGGCATTCTGTCGAACACTTTGTGAGCATCCGAAACGGACCCAGTTTTCGCGTACAGGCTGATGACATTATTCATCGCGTAGGCGCTGAATGTGAGTGCCAGCTTGACGATATGGGCATGAACCGATTTTCCACAGAGCAAGTTGTTGGATTTGAGGCTTGCTTGGAGGAGACCGGCGTAGTTTGCAACCGCAGAAGAGAAGAATTCCGGGTTCCGAAACTCCATTAGAGACTGGATTTCAGAGCAAGACCCGAAGAGCAATTTTCTCTATTCTCGACCAATCAAGTCAGCACGGCGTGATACGTACCGGAGAAGCCAAATCAAATCTGGAGAAGAAAGGGAAAAACGCAATCAAGCGTCCAGCTGAGCAAACAGCGGAACTCAATCGGAGAAGATGAAATAACCTTGCTCGGCGGTGAGCGGTAGGCCTTGGGATAACTCAGGGGAGGAAAAAGGGCGTAGGGAGTCGGCGGAAGGATTCCGAAGGTGAAGGAGAGAGAAGCGACTCAGGGGAGAACTCTCTTCTGTCTTCTGTTCTGTGTAGTGTGTAGTGGCGTGTTTCTTTTAGCGAGTGAACTTTGGGACAAGAAACTGGAGAGGAAAATTAGAGCCCGCGAGAAAAAAGGGGGGAAAAGGTACTAAAATCAAACCAACTTTTTCTATTGCTTGATAGTTGATAGATTTAAAAATTAAGGATTTGTAATTTAAAAATTAAGGATTGATAAAAAAAATTGAGATATTATGAATTTGTAATTTAAACCCACGACCCATGCTACCAATTTTAGTAGAATATATATATATGTGTAAGTGGAAAATTATTTTATGAATTAGTTGGAAAAAATTGAGTTAATTACTTAATTCACATCATGTAATGTATATGTAGAAATAGGTAACTTAGAATAAATCATTAGAGACGTAAAAATATACAAGATGACTTTTATCTAATTAATTTATGTAAGATATACAATTTAGAATAAAGTTACATAATATACAAGGTTAATAGGTATCACAAAATTTTCTACTATCTCGTTGGTATACCATTGAAACCAGTGAGCATGAGGTACTTGGTTTCAGTCTAGTATATAAATAAGGGTTAATTGCACGGTTGGTCACCGAGATTATTAAAAACGTTCATTTTTTTTCACTGGAAATATTTAATTCCGTTAGTGATCATTAACTTTAGTGAAAACATTTATGTTTGGTCACTCTCCGTCAGTCGCCGTCCATCTTCATTAATTTGGTTTGTTATGTGCTGATGTGGCAGCCGAAATTGTCTGATCAACTTTATTTAACTCGAAAGTACTCAGACCTGACCCGCCACGTCACCCATACCCACCATGTCATCCTGACAAGCCAAATCCTTTAACTAGACCCGACCCGTAAACCGACCCACTCAAATTAAATCCCTAAAATCTAAAATAGATCCACTTATCCCCTTCTCCAATCTACACATCTACTTATCCCCTCCATTTCCACAATGCCTTCTCAGATGTCGCGAAACCCTAACGCCCTGTCACCAATCGATTCGCGGAACGAATTCTGTCCATAAACCAAGATCTATCACAGTCTCAAATCTCCGACAAACTTCCACCAGCAACCGCACCGCTCTCCATCACTGATTACGTATTCACGCTCATTAATTCCTTCCCTCCGCCACCGAAAGCCTCAGCTTTCGTCGACGGCGACAATGGCCGCCGCATCTCCTCCTCCGAACTCAGATAGAAACAGACCCGTGAAAGATAGTTAGTTGTCAAAGATTATTTAGTAGTATTGGAACTCATCATCAACATCATTACAGAGTTAAGATCATCCAAACACGTATGCAAGGAAGGGAGTAAAAATAGAACCCATGAGAGTTTATTAAAAGATTAAATTGCTTCCTTCCATTCCACTCCTCGTCGCGTCGTCGTGACCAGTAGATAGCTGCTCCGTCGCATCTCTGCATCCCGCAGGCTCGGAGCGTGAAATCCTTCACCAGGTCCAACTCTCCAAACCTAGAATCGGGTTTGCGAAATCCGCCGTTACGAAGAAAATTCCTCACACCGTCAAAATCGTCCTCCTCGACTCGCTCACGGTGGAAACAAGATCTGGAGAAGTCGAACCAAGGGGATAAGTGGATTTGTGAATCGAAGAAGGGGATAAAATTTTAGGGATTTAATTTGAGTGGGTCGGTTCATGGCTCGGGTCTGGTTAAAGGGTTGGGTTGGTCATGCTGACTTGGTGGGTATGGGTGATGTGGTGGGTCGGGTCTGAGTATTTTCGAGTTAAATAGGGGTGATTAAACAATTCCGTTCGCCACATCGGCACATTATGGACTTCATTAATGGAGATGGACAGCGACTAACGGAGAGTGACCAAACATGAACGTTTTCACTAAAGTTAATGATCACTAACGAAATTAAATATTTCCAGTGACGAAATTAAATATTTCCAGTGACTAAATATGAATGTTTTTAGTAATTTCGGTAACCAACCATGCAATTAACTCATATAAATACTGAATTGCTATTCGTCGCCCTAATATTCAAAATAAATCGCCCTAAACCACACTAAATTGACACTTATACCCCTAATTTCAAACAAACTAAAACCTAGCAACAATGTCCTGCTGCCGGATTCGCTCCCCGCCATGTTGTATTCCACCCGCGCCGCATTGAACATAACTTCTCCCGCCACGATGTCCTGCTGCCGGATTCGCTCCCCGCCATGTTGTATTCCACCCGCGCCACATTGAACATGTCCAGCTCGTTTTCGTCACGGCAAGTCGTCAACTAAGTACAGCAGATAGGTTCCGATCCCGGTGGTGAAACAGGTCTTGTTCCTGCAACCCACTGGACAAAAAAACAAAAAAACAAAAAAAAAATCCAAATCCCCAAGCTATCGCCTATCAAAATTCAGAGCAATGCAAAAGCTGGCTCCTTTTAATAAAATAAAAGATCATTTTGAATTTTGATGCACCAAACTATTTACCTTCGTCGAGAGTTTGAGAATTGAGACCATTGGTCAAACACCTTGCCCCACCGTTTCTCTCCCGCAACAATTACTCGAAATTCCCTTTATTCGCCCGTATTATCCAGGACATCTACCGGGAGATGAGATGGCACGGCGGCGATGAACAGTAAACCCCTCAAATGGTGATGTTGGGTGTGGGTTTCCAAAAATGTTTCCTCCGGCTTCGGCGACTGGTGGACGTATGTAACTATGTATGTGTTTGTTTCAGAATTAAGTGTTTGATAGAAAAAAAAATAAACTAAGGACATTATAGTAAATTTAATATAATTAGGGCGATAAATAAGAATTTTTAGGGCGACGATTAGCAATCACCTATAAATAATGGTATTTTTGGATGTTTGGCATGGGAATTTAACTGCCTAGTCAGATTGGCTGATTCTAGATTTTGATCATATTTGACTAATATTGACCAAAATTACAAACCAGACGCTTATAGCCGGTTTGGCACCCTACACCGATTGTACCCCGTTGAACCGGTCAAAATGACACCGATTTATAGGGGTAGTTATTGGGTGGGTCGGGTGGATTTTGGCTGTAAAACTAACCCAACTACAGTCTACAAACAAAGTATTGATATTCCTAAAACCAACAGCGGTATGCAATGAAAAAGACTAAACATTCATTGAACAAGTAAGCTCTCAAGGACAATTTGGTCGATTATAGAAGTGACAGCCGTGCGATCGAAAGAGACAGAAAGCAGCCATGCGGATCGTAACTTCAGGACGCAGCTTGATATTCCTAAAACCAACAGCGGTATGCAATGAAAAAGTTTTGCAGGTTCACGTTCTTGAGTTCTTCCAATCATCTTCACAGCTTTGACATAGAATAGTCCAACGCATCGACAAGGAAGTCTGCGGGTACATAAAAGAGAAAAATCGTTATTGCGTGCAATGCTTTGAGATATGCATATAGACATGAATCAGCGATCAGTGTCAGTCTTGTTAGATAGGGAGAGACAAAAAGGGAGTTACCAGCATCATCTTTGGAGAAACACATGGGTGGTTTTATTCGAAAGACGTTTCCATGGAGCCCTCCTTTCCCGACTAGAATACCAAGCTCTGCAGAGGGCAAGGATAAATGACGAGTAGCTTATAAACCAGATTGAAGAGAACTAATGGCAATATGCTCTGTTAGTTTACCTCGGAGCTGCTCAAATAAGACTGCCGTTTCAGCTTTGGCAGGCGTCTTCTCCTTCCTGTCGGTCACCAGCTCTATACCCACCATCAACCCTCTGCCTCTAACATCTCCAATGACTGAAACCAGATTGGACATATAACAACAGATTCATCCATCCATTTATGACCCAAAATCATTTAGCAAAAGGTCAAGTTAAGAATAAGAAGGCTTTATATTATTCTCACAATAACGAAATGCACCAATTCATATATGCCTGCTTGACTATTTATGCAGCACATAGAAGACCAACAGCTAGATGCGAGCTTCTCATGGAGCTTTTCTCATGCATTAGTACCCTAGGGAAATCAGGAGGAGATGGTGCAAGCTACGCAGAAACTTTTCGAAATGTTGCATGAGGTTCGGTTACAGAGCAACTACCCGGTTTTGTAATCAATGCAATGCATTAGAGGGTGTACAAAGGGGAAAGGACGAGAGTGTGGCTAGGGAAGAAAATATCTCATATGAAAGCACGCACAACTGAATCTTCACATGGGATGAAAGTAGAGTTGGAAGGAAAATTACTGTCGTATTTTTCTTTTAGATCTCCCAGACGTCCAATTAGATGACTGCCAACTTCAGCACAATGTTGCTGACGCTTCTCTTTGTCAAGAACTCTCAAGACAGCAAGTCCACCAGCAGAACAAACCGGGTTCCCACCAAAAGTGTTGAACTGGATTTTCTGAGACATCACACTAGCTATTTCTGGTGTTGTCACCACTGCTCCAAGTGGTAGACCATTGCCGATGCCCTGAGATCACACACAATAAATGACATGCTACCATCGAAAAAACAACGTTCATGAATTAGTTACGAATGCTTTTGATTTTGGTTACCTTTGCCATTGTAACTATGTCAGGGATGACACCTTGTGTTTCAAATCCCCAATAGTGACTTCCGGTTCGTCCAAACCCGGTTTGAACTTCATCAGCAATGCATACCCCACCAGCCTTTCGAACGGTATCATATACCATTTTCAAATACCCGGGGGCCAATTCAACTGCTCCTCCAACTCCCTACATTCAGCAATTTGTCCCACAAGCTATGTCAACGTTTTGGTTATACTACTCAAATATGTAACTCATGCAAACCAGGATTACCAACCTGAATTGTCTCCGATATAAATCCAGCAACTCTTCCTGAAGTGCCGTAAGCAATGTGGTCTTCTACATCTTTGGCATAACCAGCTGCATCAGAGCCAAAGATCCCTCGGTATGGATCAGGGTTCATGACATGGTGGATTTCACCCTGCAGCATGTGAAATAGATTTAAGTAACTGATGAGCATTTAACCACCAAAGCAATAATCTTATAATCAGATTTTTGTGCATGGAAGCAAAGCTAAAGCATTCAGAAGTTCAAGCTGAAAATACCTGTGGTATGGGGTACTTCCATGTGTTCAAGGCCGTGAGGCCAATAGTATTCGAACTTCCACCGTGATAAGCATTCCTCAGAGAAATCATTTCAAGATTACCAGTGTACAACCTAGCCATCATCATCGCCAGTTCATTTGCCTCGGACCCAGAATTCACAAAATACACAACCTGCACACCCACCATAACAAAATCAACCCAACAGACAAACGAAATCATCACTTTAACTACTACATATCAACTAGTGAATCAAAACCCAATTAGGGGGAACCACAATCGGGCCATTCAGGAAAACTGATGAGAAGGAAAAGAACCTTAAGGTTGCCAGGCATCTTTTCGGCCAAACCCTCGGCAAAATCGGCGATCGCGTGGTGCAAATATATGGTGGTCGCATGCTGCAGAAGCTCACTCTGCTCAACGATCGCTTTCAAAATCTCCGGATGGCAGTGACCAGCAGAGACAGTCACGATCCCTGCAAAAGCATCCAGATATCGCTTCCCGCTCTCATCGAACAGATATTGCATCTTGCCCTCCACTATATTCAACTACCATAAGATCAAAGAAAAATAAAACAAGCATACTCAGTAAAATCAAGGAAGGGGAAAATAGAAAATCAAGATTATTTCTCGATGAGACCTCACAGGTTTCTGATAGTAGTAGAACAGAGAAGGACCCAGAAAAGTCTTGCGCTTCTGGAGCACTTCCTCGGCCGAAGGACCCTTGTAGGGCTTCGGCTGGTGATCGAACGGCGGGAGCTGTGGCGGAGTATCGGCGGCGGCCGCGGAAGAGGAAGGAGACGCGGAGGACAAGCAACGGCCGCCGGCACGAGCGAGCTGTGCGAAGTTGTTTCCATTGGCATTTTGCAAGGTAGCCCTAACGATTTGCCTGCGGAACGCCATTGATTTACGTCGAGAGAGAGAGAGCGGAGGAGGGGATTGTTGGGGGAGAGTATGGAAAGGGAGAGGGAGAGAGCGTGGAAGAAGAAAGGGAAGTTTAGTATGGAATAATGACAGAGTGAGCTGACATGGAAAGGAAATGGCGTCTTCGAAAAGGTTAAGACGCCGGAAACAAGCGAAGCGGACGTTTAATTTTTCTCCTGGTTTTGTGATCGAGAGATAAAAAGATTCCGCATCAAATTTCCTTTTCCGACTGTATCATTGGTTTTAATTCAGAATTCAAAATTTTCCAAACATAAATTAGATAAGTTATAGGGCTAATACCACTACAACACTCAAACTATCCGAAAAATGTCACTTGTGTTTTATTGTTTCCAATATTCCATTCATGTCATGAACTATTATATTTTGTGTCATTTGTATCCTGCCAATTTCGTTGACCGTTAAAGATAACAGTTGACCAAACGGCAGTCAAGTTAACATTGACTTTTGTTTACGTGGCAATGCCAAGTCATTGACACCTCACATTTTTAATTTAAATTAAATAAAATTTTGAAAATTAAAAATTAAAAAAACTTTAAATTGAAGAATATTTTTTAACTCAAGTTCTTCCTCTTCTCTCCGCCTCCGTTCTTCCTCTTCTCTCGACTGCAAAATGTGCCTCCTCTGCCACCGCCAGAATAATTACCACCGGAATCTGAGGATAAGAAGGAGACACGAAGTGATGCGAGGCAGAGACAGAGAGTGGCGGTGGTCGACGGTATTGGAAAAATAGACGAGCTCGACGAACGCCGGTAGGCGACTGAGGCATGGGAGATCTACGCGAGACTTGTCTTTGGCTCTCTGCTCGCCGACGATAACTTTTGTAGGCGATTACAGCATTCAGACCACCGACCCTGCAATCTCTCTTCCCCCACCGCAACAACCTCTCCGTTTGCACAATCCTCGCCTCAATCTGTCGCGGCTACACTGAGCGTTGGTTTAGGGTTTAATCCAACCAAATATGTTGTTCATAACAAATGCTTAAGTTATGAACTGAATGTCGATAGGAGTGACTTGGGGTTGGGATCCAATATGTCGCCGCCCTTAATCTGAACGCCGCCGCCACAATTCCAATCCCTAGCAATTGGGACTTTCGATTTCGAGCTTCCAATTGCGTTGTTGATTTGGTACCTATAATTGCTCTGTCCGCCATTTACAGAGAGTTCCAAATTGGAAGTAGAGAGAGAGAGAGAGAGAGAGAGAGAGTGTGTGAGAGAGAGAGAGAGAGAGGAATCCATTGTTGCTCCATGTTTGCCATCCTCATTGATTTTGACCGATAGTAGCGACACAACAGTGAACGCCGGACTGGAGGGGTGAGAAGCATAGGGATTGGAGCTTGATGAAGCACAGAAGCAGCGAGAGGGAGTTAGTGGAGGCGGTGGGAGAAGGGGAGTTGCTAGGGAGAGGGAGTGAATCGTCGATCTGGAGAAGAGAATCGTCTATTTGAGTTATTGTTTTATTTTTGTAATTTTCCATAATTTTTATTTATTTTTCTTATTTTAATTGTTTTAGATGGAAAAATAAATGAAAATTGATAATAAAAATTTCAGGTCAACGCTGACTGGATTTTATGTTAAATACTAACGGTCAACGCCGGTCAACACTAACGGAATAATAGTTGAGGACACAGATGAAATATTGGAAACAATAGGATACAAGTGGCATTTTCCTGATAGTTCGGGTGTTGTTAGTGGTATTAGCCCTAAGTTATATTCAATAATAGGAGGAAATATTTCCATAAAAAATAATAATAATAGGAAGAAATATAGGAATAGCTTTAAGGATTGGCATAATGGTAATGTGGAGATAGTGATACAAACATTCACTTGATTTGAACATTGAGACAACAACCTTCTTAAGTTAATGATTTTTTATGTCGCTCCAAATCCCCCAATTAGGGATTTAGAAGAGGGAGTTGAGGATCGAAGAGAAGAGAAGAACAATCGTCATCGACTATTAGTGATAGGTGATGAATTTGAGAGGAGAGGGATTAGAATTTTGAAAGATATTTTTCATAGTTCTTTTTTGATAGATTCTAACATAAATCCAAAAGGCGAAATACATAGAGAAAATATCCAAAAACTTCCCACCAAAAAATAAGGGTAACTTGTTCATAGGAAAAATTTTAATTTAGAAGGGAACAACCATTTTTTCACAATAAAAATCTGATGAATGCCAATACTTCTTCCTAACGTTAATCTTCTTCTTCCAAGTTTCCTTCTCAAGTCACAAACACAGAAGTCTGCAAGATTCTGCTTCCAGATTTAGATTGAAGGGACTCCCAAAGGGTGATTTGCTCAATTCTACCAACAGACTTGTTGTGAGGGCAAATACACTCCAAGAAGAGTGATTCATTTAAACCCTTAAATTCTGTTTCTTTACATCCAAGTTTCTGACTATGATTGCTTGTGGAAGTGTTGGAATTGAATATTCATAATTTTAGATTAAAAGCTTAAAACCTTTGGTTGCAAAAGAAAAGCCTAGAAAGATGCATGGATTTGCTCTATATTCGAACTTAGGATAACACTATGTATCTACTATCTTTGTAGAAGCATAAACACGAGACAACCAAACATGCTTAAACTGTTTTAATATGCATAGGAAGGTGCCATTAAGTAACTCACATGAAGTGTTAATATCTAAAACAGGAGTGGGTAATTGATTAATGATGCTTGAAAAAAAAAAAGCACGACCAACTATAACTATGATTGTTATCCAATGCATGATGTCTGAGTTAGGACACCAAAGGAAGAGTAAAAGAAAGGCCAGGTAAACTCTAGAGTCTAGACCATTGTTATTCCTTAAAATGCAAATTCAAGCATTATATTGAGTTTGAACAAATTAAATTATGAAAAGTTATGACTAACGGCATAACTTCTGACTTAGCACGCAAAAATACAGCAAAGTATTACGAGAAACGTCATCCACTAATGTAAAAAAGTAATGATAACACTCAATTGAAGGCACACCATAAAGAGGAATTTTACACTGCTTAATAGTCTATTGATACTTTTAGTTTTTTTTCTTCTTCTTTATAGTACAAATTGAAGCGGTACCTTTAATATTATGGTACAATTTTACGTTGTACCTATACTCTTTTGTAAAATCTCTTTATGGTACAAATTAAAGTTGAAGTTGTACCACAACATAAATATCAAATTCCCTTATGGTAGAATTTTAATTTGTACCTTTAACGTTATAGTACAACTTGAAGTTGTACTTTAAAGCATAGTTGTTTACCCATAAAAAAAACAACTTTTACCACATCGATTAACTATAAGAGAATTAATGAATCTATAAGGCCAACTCAACATTAATAATTAAAAAAGCTATTTATTTTATAATTAAAAGAGCTAGCTAGGCCTTGTTGGGTTGTGTTTTTGGGCCTAAGTGGCCAAGCTCTTCTCCATACATGATGGTCGACCCGTCTTCTTGGCCCCCATAGCCGGACAATGCCTCCACCCCTTGGTATGAGATTTGGCTCCCAAAAACTAAGTCTGGAAACAAGGCGGCACAACGGGGTGCCAAACGATCGGGTACCAAGCCGGATACCAAATAGGAGCCATCTAAAAACTAAGTATGGAAACAAGGTGGCACAACGGGGTGCCAAACGATCGAGTACCAAGGAGGGTACCAAATAGGAGGCCATTCAGAAACTAAGTCTGGAAACAATGCGACACAACGGGGTGCCAAACGACCGGGTACGATCGCGTACCAAGCCGGATACCAAATAGGAGGCTATCCAAAAACTAAGCCTGAAAACAAGGTGACACAAATGGGGTGCCAAACGACCAGGTACCAAGCCGGGTACCAAATAGAAGGTCATCCAAAAACTAAGTCTGGAAACAAGGCGGCACAACGGGGGTGCCAAACGACCAAGGGGGGTTCTCCAGCCGACAAGATAGGCTTGGTGCCGAAAGACATGAAAATTGGCTAAGTATGAAATCCCATGGCCAGGGAGCCATACGACACGATGTCATACCACCCATAGCAAGAGGGAACCAAGCCGGCAAGGCAGGCTTGGTACCAAGACATGAAAAGCATGAATTTGGCTAAGTATGGAGATACGGGGGTACCAGGTCGGCAAGGCAGCCTCGGTACCAAGACCCCTACAAGGTACCAAGCCGACAAGACATGCTTGGTAACTAAGCAAGGCGACAGGTACCATGACCCCAAGGGGGTATCAAACCAACAAGACTGACTTGCTGTCCAGGCAACATGCCGGCAAGGCAGGCTTGGTACCAAGACATGAAAAGCATGAATTTGGCTAAGTATGGAGATACGGGGGTACCAGGTCGGCAAGGCAGCCTCGGTACCAAGACCCCTACAAGGTACCAAGCCGACAAGACATGCTTGGTAACTAAGCAAGGCGACAGGTACCATGACCCCAAGGGGGTATCAAACCAGCAAGACTGACTTGCTGTCCAGGCAACATGGGGCCAAGCTAGGTACCAACTAAGAGAGTCATAAAGAAATTAAGTATGGATATCAAGCCGACAAGACGGGCTTGATAGTCAGACATCGGGTATCAAGCCAACAAGACAAGAACTTTGACTAAGGTGGCTGGATGACGAGGACTCGTAGAGCCCCTTAGGGGGCCATATGGAGACTAAGTCCCATGATGGGCATGGTGGCCCCCTAACGGGATACCAAGCTGGCCAGGTGCAAGATGAGAGTGTGGAGTCGTCATGGCTATCGTGGATGTGATCAAGACTTTATCATGGAGGCTAAGGCAAATAGACTCAACCCTATCTAGTCATGACAAGGGCCCCCAAGGCGACAGTTACCAACTAGTCACCAAGGCGGTGACAAGTGGCCAAAGGCGGCTTGGAGTAAGAGGTCAGCTAGTAGTTACCAAGGTAGTTACACCTAGTGGCTATAAATAGGAGAAACGAAGACGGGAAAAAGGGTTCCACAACCAAACATTTGACGCACAATGTCAAAATTTATCTTTTCTCTGCAACTTAGTACCTTTTAGTTTTTCGGAGCTCTCACTGAACCTCCATAGGAGTAGAGTAACATAACTTAGCTTGTTCCCAAAAAACCATCAAAATATCAAACACTCTCGTTCGAACATTGTTCGGAGAGGAGTGAACCGTGCT